AATGCATCGATTTCTCAATGGTTATACTACCTATCTCAATTGTCCAGCAGTATGTTGTCCTTAAATGTTGAATTTTATATCGATCGACTATGACTAAAATTTAGACATGTACTACATCGAATATAATTTATGCCATGACATGTCCATGTGGTCATTATGATTATGTTGATTCAACAGCAAAAACATTGGCTGATGCTATGGCTTGTAAATATAAATTTTCTTACGATAATCATGAGCATGCCTTTATTTCTCTTCTTCATTTTCTTATAATATTACAGATCATCGAGAACATGGCAATCGAATTATACATGAAAAATTAACTGGTAGTCCTCTATTTCGAGGATCACAAATCGATCCTGACGAGAGAGAGTAATAAAAGACATTCGATCATTCTTTCGATTATGCTACACATATTCTTTGTTTTCTTTTTCATTCATTGTTGTAGAAAAGAAATGGTTAATCAAATGCGTCTCTATCAACATTCAGCTCGTTGTCCAGAAGCACTCCGCTCATTTCTTGATTGTAATCCTATGTATTGGTGTTTTATTCCTCTACCTGTGGATGAAGCAGCAACAGAAAATGCTGCTAATCGTCCAGGAAATTCTACTACAGATCCCAACCTGGATGCTGTGATAGCAACTACTGCCGTAGACAATCATAGGGTGCCTAATTATCTAGATAATGTACCATTACCACCAACTCCCTATGCCTTCTCATATCGACAGATAAAACAACAGCGTCTATTTTTCGAACGATTTGTTACTTCTTCCATTCATTACCGACCTTATATCAAATTAGATTTGTATAACATAGCAATCATTGCTGTTTGTAAGTAAATCTACCGTTATCAACCACATTATCATCATCATCATCATCATCATTATCATTTATACCTGTTTTTCTTTCATATTGATTTAGTACCAAATGATTGTTCAATGATACTACGATACATCATCGAAACATTATTCATTATTCATGGTGAAACTAAATTAAATATGATTTGTCCACTTGGTGGTAATGCTGAAAAACGTTACGGTCGTCCGTATAACCTACATTGGTGTGATAATTTGAATAATTCATCAATGTAAACCACGACATAAACTCAGTGACCTTTTAAAAATACAATGGTCACTATTATAAAATAACATTTAATCAGTATAAGCAACTTTATTTACCTCGTAGATATTAGTTAATGTTTAGTGTTTGTAATCTGTGTGCGAAATAGTTAACTTTAGATTAATAAAATATATTTGTGCACTTCTTCTAATATCATACTCACATATAGTTTCATTCTAGATAAGTATAATTCTGGACGCACACTTACTAGTTTCCTACTCAACTGAACAAACTCATGACATTCTCGTCATAAATCAAGCCATATCACTACCAAATACACAACAACTCAACCTAGGTTCGCTCAACGTCGATATAGATTACCACACAATGACTTGACTGAAACTAAACATCAATCGGTACAGCAAAAACCAATCTCCACTAGCTCTGCACTAGCTTTCAGAACTGCGAAAATACCACACCGGAAACCATATCCAGAATATACAAACACAATCACTGAAACGCAAATAAAAAAAACCAACACCTCCTGATAAACTTACCGATCCATTCCAAAACGAACTCACCTATTTCAAACACTTACCAGATTATCCCTAATAAAACACTACAACTACTAGCACTAACAAACAGTTTCACATACTGTTTCTTCATAAAACTGCTCGCCATTTCCATTAATCCATCCAAGTCGCAATAAACAATCTACATGATTTCTACACTATCGAAACAACAAACGTCAAAGCGAACATTTAAACTTCCAATAAACATAAATCTTCCGACAGAACACGCTACGATACTTTTCCATACACTTACAAACATCTATTCCCTCCCAAAACGAATCTCTCCAAGCCACAGACATCACTTCCAACTGTGTCATAATAATGCCGAAAAACCTACGCCAAATACCCATCTTTCAGATTCGAAACCATTACACTCCAAATCGTAGCAGCATTAACCACACCATAATTTAATAAGAAAACGGCGATTCAGATCTATTTCTTACTTAAAAATTCCATATCACAAACAACCAATTCTCCACCCTCCGTTAAATTAAACATTATTAAACTATAACATCTTCAACTCTGACTTTCCACTTGAGCTTCCGCAATGCAATCGCTCAATTCTCCAAAGAAAACAACAAATCATTTCACAAACACCACCCAACATATTACTACTCTCGAATAACAAGCCTATAATCAATAACCCTCCTACCAAATACACACAACATATTAAACCGACCGCATGCTATTCTAACTACAATTATGACACCGTTTCCTGCATTTACTTTCACTATTTTCATACTCACCATTCTAACTCGACTCCGTCCACTTCAAGAAAACATTTTTTTTACCATTATTGAAATACAAAATTTGTATTATGGTAACTGTAACACACCCCTCTAGGTGTTTGTCGAAATTCTTTTCGAGTTTCGATTTTGTATCTTGTTTTTGATTTAAATTTTCTTAATTTGAATCATTTTATAACAGATACACTGCCACTTGATAATATTTACCAGTATTATTGAAATACAATTTGTATTGTGGTAACTACCCATTTAAGGTGTTTATCGAGATTCTTTTCGAATTTCGACTTTGTATCTTCTTTTTGATTTGAATTCTCTTAATTCGAATCATTTTATAACAGATACATGCCACTATTTGTATTGTGGTAACTGTAACACACCCACCCACACCTACACTACATATTATGTATCCTTCACATTTTCCACCTTCAACGAGAGAAAGATATCAAACATTCAGTCATAAAATACGATGTACCTTTGCGTTACATACGAATATTTTTAATAATTTAGGATAAATATTCACGCACACACAATTGCATTACCAGAAATAACTTCTATCATATTTCGAAAACGGCAATATAAAATAGTAATAAAGATATTTGAGTCATTTTGAAACAGCAATCGCTTACTCTAATCTCTATTGCTTTCTATATTCTCATTCTGACTGCTTATCTAGTTTTGACATGCTTTCCACTATCATATGTTACGCACAAACAAAATCAAAAAAAATCAGGCCAGCATTGTACTACATTAAAAAAAACGATGACAAACAACTACTGGTAAAAAAAAAATTTTAATCAATAGAAAAACATTCCTAGTCTAACGCAATCTTTTCTTTCATTTTAATTTATCTACACGAAGCGTCACAGACACATTGCACAAAGCATCTTGACAACTTAGTCCTCTTCTCTAATCCATTGTATCTCTCAAACAAGAATCGTAAGTAAATTCGAAAAACTCTAGTTTTCTGATAACTCTACACACTCGTTTGAGTGTTCTTCAATTTTTTTTCCTTTGCATTGAAAAATTTTAATGTATTTTGTATTTGGTTTGAAAATTTGCTTTCAAATTTTTGGATCATTCATATAGGTACTTGTCACTTGACAAGAATCGTAAGTAATTTCGAAAAACTCTAGTGTTGTGGTAACTCTACACATCCATCTATTGTGTCATTTTCTGTTATTGTTTTAAATTGTTTTATATTAACTGTAAGGAGATATTAATCTATGTCGTACTATCATAATCACTATTACTTTGATCGCAATTCAAAAATTACATTCTAGATTGAATTGATTATCTTTCAGACTATATTATTCATGGCAGAAGAACGAAAGCAAAATTCAACTTTCGATGAAATCGATAAATTACTTGACGATGAAGAATTTTGTCGAGCAGTAGAAGCATTGAATGACGATGCAGGTAAATATGAAAACTGAAATGAAATTTATTGCAAAAATGTCTAATTATTTTCAATTCTCTAAACAAGACATTACTGTTCACTCATCAACACAGACGACACCGGATCCTTTAAATACTGCTTTTATTGAGGTACGACGTACCATTTGTTTATTCAAAATAGACGTAAAAAAGAACATTTTTTTTCTAATATAAAATAGGAGACCAACCTCAATGAACATCAACAAGATAATTTATCTCAACAACAAGGTAATTTATCTCAACAACAAGGTAGTTTATCTCAACAACAGAGTAAAAATTATTTTTAAGAAAAATTTCATTATATAATTATCGATTCAATAGGCCAAACTATAAATGATGCATCAGCCATCCTTCGTGAGTTGGCGGAGATAACGACTGAACATGAACATGAACGGATCGATCAACCTTTACCAACAACAACAGCAACAACAGCAGCAGGAAACTTGGTCGAAACAGTTGATCTATCACCATCAACATCTCGTACGATCGATCTATGTACACCGACACCAAAAACAATCGATCTTTCTACACCTGCACCAATTACGATCGATTTAGATTCACCTCAAATACCATCCAATACTAACACTACGGACTCACCACTTCATTTAAGTCCAAAATAATACTTTGTTTGTTTTTTCTTTCCCGTTTTTTTTGCCCCATTCTCCATTCTCCTCTTCCGATAACTTCTCATTTATTACATAGCTAGTTATTTCCTTCGTCCAATTCATTTTTGTCCTTTTGTTCTAGATGATTAATTACCATATATATTTTTGATCATGAATGATCCTAATGAGTCGATGAAAATAAAAGTAATGACGAAAATGTCAATCTGTTCTATTCATACATTTATCATTTCATTTTTATTTTTGTATATTCTAGTATGACTGACTCGTCAGTGTCAACTCATCAAAGTCAACAATTGATAAAATAACAAACGGCGAGATTTGGCGACATTTACTATCAAGAAATCAATCACTTGAACACATGACTACAGCTAGTTGAATTAATCACCAAGAATTACGACGAATAGCTATTCTCATTTATCAATATACAAAGATTCACAAGGCAAAAAATTGTTATCGACAACATGCTCGAAATCTGGAACTAATCTATTACACAATGAATATGAAAATTCAAAACTCTGATCCGAATAGTAAACACTTCTTGGAATAATATCAACTATTATGTACATATCTACATCGAACAACTCAAAAGAATTATCTTAACTGATCACCTCCGATGACGATCAAAAAGTTAAAAATCAAAGAAAATTCATCAAGACTTAATTTCATTCCTTTATCAATCAGTGCCATGTTCTACTAATCATCACATTGATTGCATCGAACAGAGGTAACTGTACACATTCTAAAAGTGTTTATTTCTACTACTATTTCTAACAGATTCTTAGTATTATGTACTTGATTCTACTTGGCTATGACACATTTATCCAAATACTTACCATATAATAAATTTTCCGACAAATCGATACACGGAAAAATTTTTCATACTTTTAACTCTACAAATCCTCTCGATATTTGAATTTAATACTTCTCAATTTCAATTCATTACTATTTCCTTTTTCATTCCACTTCTACAATTTTTTATAACCGATACAGGCCACTTGATAATATTTATCAGTATTATTGAAATACAATTTGTATTGTGGTATCTGTAACCCACCCATTTAAGGTGTCTCTCGAAATTCTACATCCAGTTTCGACTTTGCATCTTGTTTTTGATTTGAATTCTCTCAATTCAGATCATTTCATAACAGATACAGGCCACTTGATAATATTTATCAGTATTATAGAAATACAATTTGTATTGTGGTAACTGTAACACAAACACACCCACACCCACACCCACCACAAAATTTTAGAATATCTACTATTTGGTTCAAAATTTTCTTCAGTTTTGAATCATCTATAGAGATACTGGCCACTTGATAAGAATTCTTGTAAATTCGAAATACTATACGTATTGTGGTAACTCTTCACACCCATACCCACACCCACACCCACCCCACCCTGCAAAATTTTATAGCTGGCGCGCTTTGGCGAGCTAAGTGTTCAAGATGGCCAATTTATTTTCTCTTTTCAAAAGAAAAAAAAATTACATTTTCTTTTTCACATTTTCAATGTAACTTATCACGCGCGTGATATTCGGATGATTTGGAGAAAGTGATTTTTCGAAGATGTCATGTGCTTTTTTGAAAGATGAAAGTGCTTTTGAGTACTCGCGCATTTGTTCATAAAGTAAACCGAGATTCACATAAGAAGAAGCCAGGTCGGGATGATTCGGAGGGAGAGCTATTTTTCGGATTTCAAGTGATCGTTCGTACGATGAAAGTGCTTGCGAGTACTCGCCCATGTTGTAATACACCGAACCGTTGTTGTTGTAGGAAGTAGCCAAGTCGGGATGATTCGGAGGGAGAGCTATTTTCCAGATTTCAAGTGATCGTTCGTACGATGAAAGTGCTTTCGAGTACTCGCCCATGTTATAATACACATTACCGATGTTGTTGTAGGAAGCAGCGAAGTCGGGATGATTCGGAGGCAGAGCAATTTTTCGGATTTCAAGTGATCGTTCGTACGATGAAAGTGCTTTCGAGTACTCGCCAATGTTATCATACGCCAAACCGATACCTTCGTAGGGTTTAGCCAAGTCGGGATGATTCGGAGGGAGAGCTATTTTTTTTATTTCAAGTGACCGTTCATACGATGAAAGTGCTTTCGAGTACTCGCCCATGTTATAATACACATTACCGATGTTGAGGTAGGAAGTAGCCAAGTTGGGATGATTGGGAGGGAGAGCTATTTTCCAGATTTCAAGTGATCGTTCATACGATGAAAGTGCTTTCGAGTACTCGCCCATGTTTCTATACACCTCTCCGATGTTGTTGTAGGAACCAGCCAAGGAGGGATGATTCGGAGGACGAGTTATTTTGTTGATTTCAAGTGATCGTTCGTGCGATGAAAGTGCTTTCGAGTACTCGCCCATGTGAGAATACACCAAACCAATGTTGTTGTAGGAAGCAGCCAAGTCGGGATGATTCGGAGGGAGAGCTATTTTTCGGATTTCAAGTGATCTTTCGTACGATGAAAGCGCTTTCGAGTACTCGCCCATGTTTCTATACACCTCTCCGATGTTGTTGTAGGAACCAGCCAAGGAGGGATGATTCGGAGGACCAGTTATTTTGTTGATTTCTAGTGATCGTTCGTGCGATGAAAGTGCTTTCGAGTACTCGCCCATTCTATAATACATCGAACCGATGTTGTTGTAGGAACCAGCCAAGTCGGGATGATTCGGAGGGAGAGCTATTTTCCAGATTTCAAGTGCTCGTTCGTACAATGAAAGTGCTTTCGAGTACTCGCCCATGTTTCTATACACCCCTCCGATGTTGTTGTAGGAACCAGCCAAATCGGGATGATTCGGAGGGAGAGCTATTTTTTGGATTTCAAGTGATCGTTCGTACGATGAAAGTGCTTTCGAGTACTCGCCCATGTGAGAATACACCAAACCAATGTTGTTGTAGGAAGCAGCGAAGTCGAGATGATTCGGAGGGAGAGCAATTTTTCGGATTTCAAGTGCTCGTTCGTACAATGAAAGTGCTTTCGAGTACTCGCCCATGTTATCATACACACTACCGATGTTGGTGTAGGACCAAGCTAAACCAGGATCATTTGGAGGGAGAATTTTCTTGTAGATATCCAGTGATTCTTCGTAATATAAAAGTGCTTTTGAATATTCACCCATGCGATCATATATCCAGCCAAGTTGATGATTGTATGGTGCCTTATCTTGATCGGAAGTTGCCTTTGCGAGGAGAATCTGGTAGAGTTGTTCTGATTTTTGGTACTCACCCAGTTTAAAAAGTATGAAACCCAACCGAGAGCATCCTGTGTACTTCTTGAACTCTTCTCGTAGATGTACAGTGAGTTTGTTAAAGTCATCATCTTGATTACCAACGATGGTCAGATTAACTTGCCATAAGCGATTAATATGTTTGTCTTCTATTCTTTCGACGCGATCGATACGAAAAATTGTATGTGTCGAAAAGAGTATTTCTTCTTCTTGATTTTTGTAGTAGCCAACTTGGTTGACTTCAGCAAATGGTGTTAATGATATTTTGCAAATATCCGTATCGATGTTCATAATGAATAGAATCCCAACAGAATTTGGATTCTGTGTAGCTGGTCGTGCAAAATTTTCCAGAGAAATCTCACGATTGCGACTTGTCGACAGGAAGTTATTGAAGGACATAAGTCCTCCTTTGGTTTTCTTCATTTTTTCAAAATCCTCCATGGACAAACCTTGTCCCCGAAAGACTTGAAAATTAGTTGAGATGCTATCTTGTTGCTGGCGATATAATTCTGATATATGGTTATGTAAATGGCGAATAAAGAATCCCATCTTCAGGATAATATCGACATCCATTTGTCGAAGACCATAATTGAGCATTGAGTAGATGAAATATGGACCTGTGTACCACCAAATGGGTGAGTGATTACGATATTCTTGCTCGATCTTTTCAAGTGTTTTTTCGGAAGCATCGCTTTGAAGACGACAGTATTCAACGAATTCTTTAATCGATTTTGCATCATCGTCTTCTATATCTAAAAGTGCTTCTTTTAACAATTGTGTATACATAAATAACGGATCAATACGATTAAAACTAATTGGGATCATATTTTGATCACACTTTCTTTGATCGATTTGTAATGCGTCACAAATCGGTTCAATTTGCGTATATACACCTTTTACTTTATTCATTGTTTTGGCCCATTGTTCATGAATCCATTGATTATCACAGAAAATATAAATTGAGACTAATTGTGGGCATTCTTGTATTACCGGTATTAGATGTTTTCCCAGGGCACCAGAGACGATCATTAATATATTTTCATTTTCAATATCACTTAGAAAATCAATACATTCGTCAACATCTGTAAATGTGGTGACTGTTGCTACAATATTTTGTAAACGTTGTATTGATTTTTTATAATCGTCCTTGGATTCATCTCGATTAGCATCAAGCCATACCAACAGGAAATTTTGAAGCATCCGACGAAAGGGTTGTGACTGTGTAGTATTTCTGCTCACCACTGTTGTTGCTTCTGTTGCTGCTGATAACTTATTCGGCTTACTTGTTGTAGATGATGAGCTGCTAACCATTGGTTTAGAATTTTTCTTGTCTATTTTAATGATAATGACGATGGTGTTGATGGTGTTTTGATCTTTTTTCAATTTAAGAAAATGAATGCAAATGTGGATACTTGTTGCACACTGTAAGAATCAACAAAACAAAAATATATTTCGTTTCTGCCTCTTGAAGTCACTACACGAGCGAGATGACCGAATGCCAATATAGCTGCTCAATCGATAGTCTCAGATTTTGATGAGAGTTATCCCATTTTGTAGACCAAATTTTTTTAGGTATAAAGCCAAATTTTTAGACTTAAAGGTTGAACTTTAACTGAGATACGCTCATCCGACTTATAGCACCCAAAATAGACTTTTATTAATATGAGAAATTTTTAATCAATCTCTTGTGTAAGCTATTTTGACGATATCTTGTCATCAGTACGCGATAGAGCTCTGAAATTTTGATCAGATATATATTTCGAGATGTGGAATACAATCATCATATTCCATAATATCCATATCTTCAAAAACTATGACTGAATTTTTTGAGGTCACCTCTAATTTCCCTATATATTAGGGTTAAAAATAGCCTCTCTTCCTCATAGGCTTTCTCAAGATCAGCCTGATAGAATTTGCTGATCTTTTTTTCTCAAAGACTACTAATCTAGTACTACTTCAATATGCAATCAAAACTTTGAGATCTTGAAATTTATCTGGACAAATGTTAGCACTAAATATCACTATCTTGTTTATGAGTCAGTCCACATAAATCACGATCAGTTTTCACAAAAGCTGCTCAATCAGGGCCGTCCGATTTTGCTCAATTTAATATATGTTGTAGAGGTAAGAGTTCTGAGAATTTTGACCCGAGCCACTTTAAAAGATATTGTTCTATTCTCGAGATATTGAAATTTTTCTGAGAGCACTATCGTCAAAGAAAGTGCATTTTGTGTCATTTTTTTGTGACATGTTTATCTTGTCAAGGATACATGCAATTGACTTGAAATTTTTACTGTAAGTAAATATTATAATTGCGTATTATTGAGAAAAACACGAGCTCAAATGGATAAACTATTGAAGAGTTGTGCAATACTATCAGGTACATGGGAATATAGTCATTTTTCAGCATTTTGTGCATATGCCTATCTAATGCAGAAATTGTGTTAGAGAGTTGAAATATTGGCTATGGAAAGATCTCATTGGTTACATAGTCCAGTAAAAATTTCAGCTTTCTACATGGTTCTCATCACTCAGGACGTCTCCTGTAGAATAGAACTCATTTTTTTTGTATTTTTCAGCAAGTCTCCTAGGACCATTCTTTGAAATCTCACCTCAATTCTTAGATAACTATGTAGTAAAGTCCTTCACGCATTAGAAGACTCGGAGTCTTCTATTGTGTCTTATCATTCACAAGTTACAAAGGGGTCTTCTATTATGTCCCTAAAAAAAGTGAAATTTTTTTCCGTGATCTCAACAACAAATTCTAATTTTAACCCTTTTTTGTCCAATACACTGTTGGTAAACCAGTTTAGTTTGCTTATCCCGCGCTCGTATAATGGAAAAGAAGTGGATAATGTTTTAATGCAAAAAAAAAGAGAAAACAATCGTTAGTTAGAAGAGTGTTCTGAAAACGATATAGACAACATATCATAAAATTTTTGTGCGATTTATAACGGCACTATTTGTTCTAAAGAATACGATCTATCACTGGTGACATTTATTGTTCTATATAACTACACCCTCGAACAAAAGTCTTTTCCCCTCTTTATTTCTATACTATCATACTTTGCATCAAATTTATTGTCGAGTAAAGATATGACATAAGAGTTTTATTTGAATATGGTATAGATCACACAACAATAAAACTCTTATGTCATACCTTTATTTGGTCATAAATTTGATGCAAAGTATGATAGCATAGAAACACAGAGGGAGAAAGACTTTTATCCAGGGACGTAGCCAGAATTTTGCCAAGGGAGGTGCACAACATACGTAAAAATTTTGGAGTTTTTTCTGATATACCTCAACTAAAAATGAAATTTCTTTTTGCGGATCCAAAACAAAGCTCTGACTATTGTCACAGCTGTTTCGAATCAATTATCCGAATTTTCATATTGATTAAATTTCCAAGGTTATCCAGCTAGACAAGGGCCTATTTTCACGCATTAAAATGTGTGCTTTTTATGCTGAAAAAACGATTTTTATTTTTGTGAAAAACACGTTTATATGCTTCATAGCCTTCGGAGTCGTTTTCTTTGTCAAAAGTTTTTTTGTCGAAAACGTAAAAGGCGCACCTTTTAACGCGTAAAAATGCGTTTTTTTATTGATTTTTTCCATCAAGAAGATTTAACTTATAATAGAAGTTATTGGTGGCATGTCATCCAAACCAATATTTTCTTCATTTACAATACTTTAAACAATAAGTAAAAACTTATAAACAAGAAAAAATCACAGTGAATTGTTATCGACCTATCCACAGATAACGCACTCACTGATTTTTGACCTTTGAATTGTCATGACTCATTAATGTAATGTGGTGAAGAGCTGAAACTTCTACTGCAGCAAGATATATGAAGTTCTAGTTTGACTGAAACTTTCATCTCATTTGACTGAGTCGTGACTACTCCAGAAAAATACAAAGTCATGAGAAGCCACTTATTTAAAAGGATCTATTCCATCAGTGCGACTCATAAAAGCTCACATTCGTAGAAATTTTTTCGATCTGAACAGAGTGTTTCCATTTGTTTTTGTGGCTATGTCAACAAATTTACGATGGTAGGATTTTTTAGGTCTACTTCGATATGAAGAGTTACAGCCAAAATATTACGGGGACGCACTCATCAGTGTTGTTTTGCGTCCACTCAAGAAGTATATTTTTCACAGCTTTGGCAAAAATACCTGGTGATCCTTTGATGTCAAACTGCAGCTCAACCCTTGATGATATTAATATCATTTCCGCGTTTTTAAATGATAAAATAGCGTTTGAAATATGATAGTAGTAATAACACCTTTTATTCATCATTTTTGCACAAAAAAGTGCTTGACTTTGACTCACGACTACCATTTATTCTCTTCATTATTCAAAACAAATGACATCTATCGATAACGGACATACGAAAATCTTTACAAAAAATTGAATGAATAAGTTCGATCAACTTATGTTCGAGAAATTTTCTGCTCAGTTTTGGTCCAATATATTCCATTTTAGCTGGAAAGGTTGTTATCCAAAATTCGATTCTTCCAAAGAATAAACTTAGCGTGAATATTTCTTCTAAAACTATCTTTGGATTCTAGTCGAATAAATATAAGTTTTACTACACTGAGTTAACTGACCTTTTCTTAAGGATGGAAGTTTATTTTAGATTGTAACGAGCTTCGCATATCATTATCCACATCGCTTGCAAATAATGTTCATTTCTTTTTAGCAGATTGCGAATTATTATTCACTAAAAGTCTAATAAGAGAATTTCTATTGGGGGTGCCCGGGTACCTTGGCCCCCCATTGGCTACGCCCCTGCTTTTATCCGGGGGTATAAATAACTTAAAGAAAGAAAATTAAACTTTTTTCAGTCAAAGTTATTTAAGTTAGTTGCTTATATTGAGGATTGGCTCGCATAAATAGAATTGCTACAAAATGAAATGTACCACAAGCTTAGTTATTAGTTTCTAGCTAATTTGAATGAATATGATTGTCTACGAAGAAAAAATTTACAGAAAAAGAGCGATTGAATAAATGTTGAGGGTGATTTTAGAATCTTTTGTGTCTGTTTCGGAAAGCAATCTGGCATCTTTATGCGAAAAGAAATATGTCTTCATACATGGAAGCTGTATTTCATAAAAAATGTCTCATTGCAAATCCTCAGAGATATATTTTTTCCAACTATGAATGAGATCTTCCATGATAAGAACATGTTAGAATTTCTAGAAGAAAATGCACAGAGGCAGCGAAGTATTAGCTAATGAACAGCAGGTTTTTACCGAAGATGTTCTTATTTCAGAAAGACCTCGTCATATGTGACACGTTTGGATGCGCATCGCGTTAATTAAGTCCTGTAATTATTGGAACGAATATTTTTGCAAAAGAAATCTAACAAGTTTCTTCACAGTACGCTGCAAAGGAGCATTAAAGTGACCTCAAGACACTCTTTTATACAGAAAACGTTTTTTTTATTAACTGCTCTTTCCTATTAGCTTTTTCTCATGAGTTGCCCAACGCAGGGCTCACATGCTGCTAAGACGATGGAAGCAAAATATTGTCCATACTAAAAACATTTATATATTAACATATACATAAATCAAGGGGGAAACGGCGGACTTTTCGACTTGAAGTTACTTGAAGTTACTTCAATGATACTTTGAGCTACTTGAGTGGTACTTCAATGATACTTTGATTTACTTCAAGTTAATTTTTGAGTATTTCAATGCTACTTTGAGCTACTTGAGCGGTACTTTAGGCTACTTGAGTGGTACTTTAGGCTACTTCAGTAGTACCACTAATTTTAATAATTTGGATAAGCAACGGAAAAAAGAAAAGAGACTAAATCAAATATTGATTTTTAGTATAGCAGATTTTTATTAATCTATTTTTTATTTTTTTTAAATAAACGAAATTTATTGTCTGTCTAATTTTCGGTCCTATTGAGACCATCTTCTGGAACATTAATTTTTATTTTTTAAATGCCATTTCATAATGACTGTTGTACTATTGATTTAGTACAATACGAATGAGACAATAAGAAAAATTGAAAAAAATTAATAATGAGACCATCTAATTCAAAATCACCAACAACTAAACCGATAACACCATCTAATACATAATTAACACCAGTAAGAACAGTATCACCACCTGATATGTAATTAATATCACTAGGACTAATACCACCATCTGATGTAAGACCACCATCAAGTAAATCAGTAAGACCATCTAATTGAAAATAACCACCAATAACATAATTAACATTAACAATTATTAATTGTTGGTGTATGTCTAAATAGAGAAAATATTAGCATATATATAGTTGCTTTTAATTGATACATACTTTAAATAAATTAATAAGCATATTAGTATCTATATATATAATAAATGTAATTGTGAGAAGAGTAACATGATCGAACGTAGAGATGAAATACTTATTTGAATAGATTGTAACTTTTACATTGAATGCATATGAGGACATAGATGAAAGTCCATCTATATGAAGTGTAAAAATTTTTTTTTTTCGATTTTAAATGAAAATAGTACTTGATTAATAATAATACATTGAAGAACACGACGAGTAGGAATTGTACCACTTGTAGCACCTGCATAATATTGACCAGAACGTGTACGAAATTGTATAATATTAAGAATTTTTATATGTCTAAATAGAGAAAAATGTGTTGTATGTAAATAATTGCTATTGATAACTACATACATTCAATAATATGAAGAATACATGGTGGTGTATTAATAGATCGATTATTGGATTTGTTGAAGAAGAAGTGGAGTTGGATTCGATGTTATTGTTGTTGTTTTTTTTGATATTTTAGATGATGATGATCTGAAATGAAAGCAATGATAGATTTTTTTGTGAAAGGATGAGGTAAATTATGTGTTTTATGATTGTGTGAAAGAGAATTTTTGTTTCAGAAGGCCGATGTGCTTGTTTTTATTCTAGTGTGTTATTTGGTAATTCTTGGATTTTGTTTCGTTCTCTCGATTGTGACGCTAGTCCGTGTTTTCGTGGAACGAGCTTGCGTTGAATCGAACAGTGTGTGACTTATCGATGCTGTCATTGGTGATATCTTGTGTTCGAATTAATTTCATGGGGGTCTCTTATGAAATCTGATTAGCCGAAAGATGTTTGGGCTTTTTTATGGTCGGCGTTCGTGTATACGATCATTCTTTCTCTTGTGTTTTAGTTTAAAGGTCTAGAAAAATTTTATTTTCGACACTTCTTGAATTGTTGAAATTTTCGATTTACTTCAATGATGAATTCGTCTATCACTCGAAATAGATATCCTACAGTAGATATCGATGATTACATCCGACAACATCATGGAAGTCATTTTTTATATAGGGTGTGGGTGTGGGTGTGTGGGGTGTGGGTGTGTGGGGTGTGGGTGTGTGGGGTGTGGGTGTGTGGGGTGTGGGTGTGTGGGGTGTGG